AAATAATTAGAGCGCAACTATTTATTGGAAAATTTATATGCTATGGAGAAAATATACCAAGTAATCTTCAAATTTCAAATCCAATTAACTGTATAGAATTAACATTCCTGTATTCCTGTAATTTCAATAATAAGTCAGTTCAGTAGTCCAAGAGCCGTTTCGCTTAAACATCGACAACGTACTGTGTTTGACGACTACACTAGCGCTACTAGCATGTACCGCACTAACTAAGTCGCGCAACAGTTCGTCTAGTCACCACTAGGTGTCTCTGAGCCTAAATATAGAGAGGTGTATTTATTAATCATTAATATCAAACTATCAAGAAATATAAAACAAATTTAGCTTTAGTTAAAGGAAAGTATAATTTATGAATGATAAACTAATGGAATGTTTCGCGATTCAAAGCCGGGTTTGTTTACTAAGAGTCGTCTGTATCCGTTGACACTCGCAGTGATTTTTGAGTAGCTACACGACTACACCGCTTTTTGTCAAGGTGAGTGATTAATAGGCAATAATTACAATCTAATTACTATTTGAAAAGCCGAGAGTCGCGTCTCTTATCTGAGGCCGATGATTGGCTTATAATATATAATACAAAAAAAATCAAATAACTCTCTAGCATTTGGCGTACCAATCATTCCAGACTCCATAAGGTTCACTCTGCCTAAATTCAAATTGTGTCTGTTTATAAATACAAGTTTCTGATAATCTATCACGTATACATTACGAAACCAACGAACCAACTACACTACACTTGAATGTTCAGTGTTGCAACACAACTCCTCACAAGCACAAACATCCCGGATGTCAGGAATATTATTTTAACACCACTTTTAATTGTTTTATTAAAATATAATTATTTGATTTTAACTTTCAGCTTAATATTCGTGGATTTAGTTGTGGGTTTTTAGTTCCTTAGAGTATTAAATAATTCTCTGAGAACTTCTCGAAGAAAGAAGTTACCTGTTCCTGGAGGAGACTTTTTTGCGGTAACAGGGCTTTTGGACTAATGTCCATCAGAACTCAAATTTCGTGTTTTTCCATTTTAAAGCAATGTTACAGCTTGGTGTGGTTCAGTATTAAAATATTTTCTATCCATGCGTATTATTAGCAAACATATTTTAGGTCACTATTAATAATCACTTATATATAATCCAGTTACTAAATCCACCAAAATTCATTTTTATCCAATAAACTATATTTAGGTTTTATAAAAGTATAAATAATAATATAAATAAATATAAATAAAAGTATAAAAGTATGGCAATAAATGGATTTGATTTGATTTGACATTCAATATTTAACTTTTTGTTGCAGATTGAATTACTGCTGGAGAATCTTTTCCAAAAAGGCAAGTTCATATTTCTTCTGATCTTGGATTTATGTCATGTTGTAATATTAATATGGTTATATAAAAATATACCAAGGTATTCAAGGTGAGATATTGGGCAAAAGAATTAGCAAATTTGAATTGTAAGGTAATAAATATGATTCACCTCCCACCTACCAATAATTGACCAATTTGAGAGGTGGTATCACTGACACTGACTATAAACCATAATTGTATTTTATCTTTTTGGTTGGGGCCTGCCTAATGCGCAATGCACTTCATCCAGATTTGTCGAATTGTTGCACACCCCATCAGGTGGTATATCCAGAGACCTTCAATGTCCAAGCATCTGATGAACGTCTGCATTCTACCAATAAGTGTTCTGTTCCTCCTCAAGAAGGTAACTCCCTGATTTTACCAGATTGCCAAGAGTTGCCCCTCTTACCTCAAAGAGCTCCTCACAGCCCAAAAGTAGATGAAGATGATCAGCAATTTCCTCTGACCTGCGGCACTTTGTTCATGATGTGGCACCATCAAACAAACCCACTCAATGTAGATGTTTTCTGAACCATCCATCGGGCCCGCAGTTTGCATGTAACTTGCTATTGGCCCAAGAGAGTTTTGAGCCCTTCTCCACAATCTTATTGCCCAGAACATTTCTCTTTGTGCCCCAAACAAAGTTAAAACCTCTTGGCCCCATTTCTAAAATTTCTAATTTCGGGCTCATTTAAGCGGCCCTGCCATTCATGTCCGTTAATCAGTCCTATTGATTGACTGATTATTCACCTATCCAATGAAGCTTACTTACCCTGGAAGGGGGTGCTTCAGCACATCTCCAACGATGTTCTCGAGGTCCATCTAGGTACACGGGCTTCAACCCTTGCATATCAGAAAATTTTGGAGTGATGATTTTGGAGTGGCGCTGGTGCACATGCGAAGGCAGACGGCAGGACAGCTGGCAGGCTTAGTTAGTTTGGTGAGCACACTTTTTCAGGCCGAAAGGGTGATATTGGTTTGTCATATTGAACTCTTTTTTATCGGCCATTAAATGGACTTTAGTTTTTATTTTGGCTTTGTTTCTCCCTTGCCCTACTGGTGTCAGCTGTGAAATAAGCAGTCTAGTGGTTGGTACGATCACGAACGATATCAAAAAAATGTCTATTCTCCTGGCGCGGCGATAGGAAAAAGTATTCACCGCCCAGGAGACTCAATAATTGTAAACAGTTAACATGCTAAAGCTGGTTTTTTACTCGTAAAACAGCTGTTCTTCTACTCTAGGGTTGTCTTTGTCTCCTCAGCCAGTACCAGATCCGATGCCTTCAGCGAGTGCACTTGAACCCAGTGCAGGGTCCACATTGCACAGAACTGCTTTGCCAATTTACAGTGGTCAGTGACGGCTTGCTCTCCCTACGGAGCTTACGCTTACCTCTCACCCCCCCCCCCCCATATTATTTCTATAAATCAGAATAGTCCTCACATGTTATTATTGATGCTATAGAGCACTGACTAACAATATGATGAAAGAGATCTTATTCAATGTTTTATCTCTACATTTGATATATATATTATACTGTATTAAAGAAGTATCAGTATCAAGCCTGCACTAAAGTCTCATCATGACTACGCCGCTGTAATAATTTTGATACTGTTGTTTGTTGTTTTTTTAATCCTAAACCACTAGTCCTAGGTGTACCACAGGGAAAGAGGACCAATGTAGTGTTTGCAAACACATCTAGTGAGATTGTGGGTTTATGTGAAATTTGTAGGATCTTGACACAGACCAAGAGTACATAAGTCTTATCTCTAATATTGGTAGTTGAACATTTGTGGTCTCACGTGGGTAAACAGTGCTGAATAAGAGTGTGAATACAGCGAGAATCGTAAGTTTTACTTGAATGCCTACTACTCTCCCCCGACCCTCCAATCAAGCAATAGTAGTCCTTCTCTGTAAGAACTCTTTGTTACCCTGATCTCTCATTGATTGTAGGTAGGTGCTAATTGAAATTCCAGATTATTCATGTGACTCAGGGGTATAAACTCAGACAATATGCTGTTTAGTGAATTATTTCCCTGAGTAGGTATTACTAGATGGATTAGCCCAGCCAGCTTCACGAACCATAATAATTTACACAAACCACTTCACAACAGAAATTCTTTTTTTAAATTATTCATTACTAGCAGAGTACCCGTCCTTCGTACGGGGTTGGAATATACGTATAAAATTCTTATTGCAGTTATACTCAAGCTTTGCGTTTGCAATAAGGAAGACACAGTTTGATAAAATTAGCTTTTTTTAAATTTACAGTATTCTATAGTATTACACATCTACCATAGCCATAATGTTCTACCACTTCACCTAAACAATAGAGAAAAATAAATTATCAACAATTCGCAAAATATCACAAATTATTCATGAAATGAAAAACATAAACATAACTGTAAGCAATCCTACTTTGACAGTTCTCATTGCGAATCACAGTTTTTTGTTGCTGCTTAGTTCAAATTAGCTGTTTTCATAAATGCTAAAAGAATATAGTGCTGCACCCTGTTGGTAAATCTTATAACTTTTTAATGCTTTTCCATATCATAGAACCAACTTTTTTAGTTGAAACAGCTGACTAAATTCTTTAATTCCCTTTAAATATGAATACTCATAAGGTTAACATGGGGAATTACAGAGCCACTGGGGCGGGGCCCGAAAGGATTTTTGAGATAAGAATATGCCTACATGTTAATCGGGAATGTAAGCTATCATCTTGCCAAATTTCAGCCCAATCAGTCCAGTGGTTTATGCGTGATTGAACTTCAAACACACAAACAAACAAACAAACAAACAAACACACAAACTTTCACATTTATAATATTAGTAAGATTAACTGGGACAGGTGACATACTGGTAAAAAAAAGCAAACAGTCTAACTTTAATGGCTTTTATATTTACAAAACAAACATAAAATCCATCTCATAATGATATTTATGTATACTTTGAGACTAACGTTTACATGCAGTGATGCAGTTTTAAAACACAAGTACAAGAAAATAAATCATCGTTTAAAATTAAAAGTTTAACATTAAGCCTTTTTTAATTGTTGAAATGACTAAACTGTACCGTTTGACAATCATCGTAAAAAGTTACAAACTATTAAGTTTCATACCAATAATTTTTTCCAAAAATAGATATGACAGTGTTATAATTAGACATAGTAGAACTTACTATTTAATGTCATAAATGTATAAAAAGGTAACTTATGAAATAGTGTGCAGTGTATCATATACCTGTAGATCCTAATACATAAATGATCACAAAATACATTTTATAAATGTACATCTACGTAACTATAATCCTTAAAATGGATGACTGGATAATACTCGAGGCACTGTACAGGAGAGTCAGAATTCTTGATAACAATACTCATATAAAATGTACATTTTAAAATACTGTTTACAGAACCATTTTATTTTTAAAGCTTAAATCGTTCAAGAAAACGACTAGATACAAAACCACAGACTTTGATGTGGAAGAAGGCATTCCATTGGTAGACCTGTTGTAGTGTTTACCATGATAAAATAATTAACTGCATCAATTCAGAGATTTACAAGCTAGTGTCAAGGGGTGAAAAACATTTGAGTATGGAAAATGAAAAATACTTGAAAGTACAGTTGGTTTTGCTTTAACTTAACAGAATGTTTAAATTTTCAAAATCATGTTGTATGAAACCATCCAGTCATACATTGGACAAAAAGACACCAGTGCTATGTTGCACAAGTTGTACAACTCGTAGAGTTAGTAGGTAACAAGTGGCTAAATATGAACAAGCTACGTATGTCATGGACAACGCCAAACATTGCACAATGTTTCGTCCCTCTGGCCCGCTGGCTTTTAGTTTTGTCGTACTACATTTTCAGTCAAGCTCCAGCGTCCTAAGATCGGGTTCTGGTTCCGGACAACCCTGGAAACACAAAAAATGTAATACATAACATGAGGAATCGGAAAACAATATTTCAAATTATTCTGTTGTCTACAGCTTGGTTTTCTATTGGAATAAGCCTTAGAGGAAAAACATTGTCAAATGGTTGTGTAAATCTTTTTTTATTTTCATGGACTAACTGATGACTATACAGGTGCGGGGGGGGGGGGGGGGGCGAGCCTTGACCAGCATTTTTCGGGAAGATTCACCGGGACCCGTTTTGCTTTGGAAACTGTTGATTTTTAATATATTGATTTTTGAGCTGAGCAGAGCCTGACCTACAAGCTTGAGAGATCAAAGGAGCTCAAGAGATTGTAATATTAACGCTTTTGCCGTGATCGCGGATATCGACAAGAACATTTCCCTGCGGGTGACAATGACGATGTTTCCGGGGCCGCGGGAGATGTTCAATATTTTGCCGAGATTGCGGAAGACGATAATGATGTCCACACAGCCGCAGGAGACGTTCTGGATTTTGCTGCGATAGTGGAAGATGATTTTTATTTCCGTCACCGTGCGAGATATTCAAGATTTTGTCCCAATCGCAGAAGACGATGATGACTTTTTTTCAACCGGAGATATATCTAGGATTTTGCCGTAATTGGGGAAATAAATTATGTTTCCGTAATCGCGGGAGATATTAGGGATTGGGTTGCAAACTCTGTAGACGGTGATGTTGTTATCTGATGATGTCCTAGATTGCTGCAATTGCGGTAGACTATGATAATGGTTCCATGAATACAGAAAGTATTCATGATTTTGCCTGGATCATGGAAGGCAATGATGACGCCTCGTGAGATCCCGTACCAAGCAAAAATGCAAGTTTGTGTGGAAATACCTGTGATAAGGTTTTTAACGATTATTGTGAGTGGGGGGGGGGGGGGGCCCGGTGAACAAACTTGAAGGGTGGCCCACGGGGTCTTATCGCCGCCACTGGTAGATATTTTAGAGTGGACGCTTTGTAGAACAAAGTTGACAGCATGCCACTACAGTAGGACCTGTCATTATAGATACTGTAGTCTGTGCTTTTAAATGGGCTCAGTAGGCCCGGGACCAGGGGCGCAAGAGGTTCTAGGTTTGTTGGGAGCGCAAGGAAGGGAAAAATTCCACCACAATAGGTGGAGAGGGGCGCAATCATCTCTCGGGCCCTTAGCACATGTAAACCGCAACCTGAGTGTTGTGGGGTGTGATGTTTTGAGGCAAAATATGAGTAGAGGAGACTAGTATCAGCTGTTTATTTGGCCAAGATCAAGCTGTGATCAAGTTTTGAACGATTACAAACCTTCTGAATTTTCTCAGGACCAAACAGCCTACCATCTTTATTACTAAGTGAGCACTTTAATCACTCACCTACTTCAGTCTGCTGAGCTTATATAAAACATAATAAGATACTGACTTCAGTTGGTACATTTAATTATCAAATTATTTTTTAATTGGTTCCCTTATCCCAGCCACATTTCCGGCATAATGCAAGAGTAATGAGAAAGTTGAACACAACCTTGCTGTTGATGGACAATTCTGGCTCAAGTAATAGCTGGTTAGTCAATAAACATTGCTACAAAGATCATTTCACTCCATTCTATCCTGATACCATTGACTATACACCTCTAGTAGAGGTGTATAGTCAATGCTAATACTAATTCATATTCAGCTTACAATTAGCATTTTGGGTTAGTTACTAGCTAAAAAGTAAAATTATAGGGAAATTCACTGATAAAATATTCACCTTTTTGCTTCCTTTTCTGCTTAACCTCTTTTTCTCATCAACTCTGTATTCCTCTTCTACCTTGAAGGAGCTCTGAAGTTTTTCCATCCATTCGCAATACGACTCTGAAAAATATATTTCATTATTAAATGTTTAAGCTACAGTATGATATAGGTTATGTAGTATTGTACTATATGTAAGGGATTAACCTTTGACTAAAAAATGAGGTCAGTGGAGTTGTAAACTCAAATGTGTCAACAGGAAAGCAACATGCGTGCTGTACCCGCTCTCTACTGCCTGCTTGAAAAAACCCTTCTTTTAGGCTCATGGTACAAAACAGACTCACTGCCAGAGAGACTCAGTACCATATTGGATTACATTTTGAGAGGGTGTCGTTCCACTCAATAATACATATTGATTACGTTTTCTTCACCTACGAGTCTTCTTGACTATCATCCACTTACTGTTTCAGGCCAATATGGCATTTAAACCTTGCTGAGGAATTAAAGAACCTGGAGGTTTATCTATGGTGTCATGGAGGGTATCTGCCCTCAAGCAGTAAGGAGCCTTGCCAGGGCACACAAGGCCCTGGGTTGACTCCTTTTCCCCACATTTATGGGCAAGACAATATTCCTGGAGGATTTTTTAATGTCATCCATTTGCATTTTAGGATAAGCTCTAATCTTGAACCGTTTTCACATTACTTTAAGGATTCTCAGCATTATTACATAGCTGAAGCAGGTGTATGGGCAGGATTTGTACCCAGGGCCTCAGAAACCTAAGTACGGACTCTCCCATTGGATAAGCTTGTCACCCTAATCCCGGGAGGATAGTGTTTTAAACCTTCCCTAGACATTCCAATGAAAAAGGGCATTAAGGAGATCATTAGTAATATAAATAACAGCCTGATAAAAAAGGTGAGAAGGCAAAGAAAACGAGTCTAAGTTGGCAGGCTGTCAGAGAAACCACCAAAATCATTAAGGATGTCATACTTGTCAAAGAGGCAACTGAGGGAAAGAGAATTGGAGACATATCCCACATGAAAAACCATCATGCTAATCGATTTTTCTACAGCTGAAGGGGATGTTTTTGAAAAGATTCTAGAGCCAAGAATCGGACACACTAAAAATCTTGTAGGTTGCAGTGCCAGTGCCATAAGTAACAGCACCTATTAGGTTTCCCTGCTGTTGTTATAGTTTGGGCTCGTATTCCTCTACTCTACATGGAGAACATCAAATACCCATCACAGATTCATATCACACTCACATTCATACACAAAACACAAAATCAAAGAATACAGTGGTAGGATACTGAATTCAAAGGTGAGTTGGAAAGAAAAACCATTGGAAGGATGCTGTTGTAGCAATATTATGTTTTGAACACTTTAGATGATTCTATTTCACTATCGTCATCACTTATCTGTGAAGCTTCAAAATATTCTTTGTAAGATTAATGTAAACTCTTTAAGTATGTATCAGTAGAGAGGGATGCAATATGTGTGTCAATTTACTTTAGAGGATAATAATCAAAGGTTACCATGTAAATTGGAAATACTGGGCAAATCTCCACCAAAATCTGACGGAAGACAACTCTTTGGCAGACTCTTGTAAACCTCCTCCATGTGTCCTTCTCGGTGAAAATGTATCTGGAAAACCCAAAATTTAGTTTTGTACATGTGTCGCGTATTCCTTGTGATTGTTTATTTTGAGTTGTTGGGCTTTTAGCAAAGGTAGGATTTCAATCAATTACTGCTGGTTTGATGTTGATGTTATTGATGTAATTGAGTAATTGTTCTGTTACAGTATATTGACTACCCTCTTACAGCAATGATGAATACATTTGATAAACCGTACGTAATTTAAAACAGCGCAAAATGTAGTTTTCTCGTTAAATGTAACTACTGTATATTCATTTTGAATAAGCCACTGGTGACAAATTTAAAACAGAGATGGAATATCTAGTTATATCATCAGTCAAAGGTAACACTAATGAATTTTTATTCCGATAGAACTTGGTACAAGCTTCTTAGTAGGTGCTTACTAAGAAAAAAAGTTGAAAAATTAAATCAAGCCCCAGAGGCCGCACAAGTTTTTGTTATTCTTAAGAACAAAATGCAGAGCTTTCTCGGTGAATTTATATTCCACATAAGGTTTAAGTTATGCCAGAATAAACTGTCGGGAATTGGCAATTTATAGTCCTGTAAAAGTAGTTTGGAATTTTAATTATGTCTATTTACAATAATCTTATCAAATTTGTTAACAAAATAATGCCTCATTTGTCAACATCCAACAATAATTTAATATTAAGTCAGCTGATTTTTAACAAATAACCTGATCAAGCTATAGAATACAACTGTTAAACAGCTGTTCATTAACAGTTGTTTGATGATATTTACCAGCTGGTAGAGTTCTTTCTTCATGAAAGGCTTGACTAAGAGCAATATCTTATCTATTACTGGTTGAGTATTAAGAATGTGGATGGCCTTAAGTCTGACTGGCATTCCTTCCTGAAAATACAAACAAGCACATTTTAAATATTTTGTTTTATATTCCATTGGAATTTTTAAATATTTTTTTGTAAGGGAAACAGTCTAAACCATCATCTTGTTACCTTCTAACAGTACCCATTGTTGGATCGCATCATCAATTGCCCATTGACTTCTGGTATTTGAACCAACTGGATGTGTTCAAAATCGATACCGAAACAGTAACCTTCAGATTTGAAGGTGAGCATTTAACACAATGATCGGGATGAACAAGAATTTATTGGCAACCAAAGTACCTGATGATTAATCCTTATGTTGAAGTTATTGGGTTAAGTGGTTAAGTTTACAGATGCATAAACGACCAAAAATAGCAGAGCAGAACGCCAAAAATTGGAAACATGGGGGGGTCGTGAGCTAGTTCGCTGTCAGCACAGACTAATAAGTGAAAAAAATTATAGAGACAGAAAACTCTCCCCAGAAACTGGAACCAAGGAGTAATTTCTTCAGTTTTTAAGAGGGTTGAGAAACGTGACTGTAACTATTGTAGCATTACACTGTTGGACATAAACAAAGATTTCTAATATTTTGGGGATGAGACTTAGCCTTGTGCAGAAAATATTCTTGGTCAATGCCAATGTGGATTCTAGCCAGAAAGAGGACTACTGATAACTGATTAGATATAATATGTGTCAGACTATGAAAAAGACACACAAATATGGAGTTGACTTGCACATTTTGTTCATTGATTTCAAACTAGCGCTTGACAGTTCGACCGGAGAAAATTATTACATGCGCTTGAGAGCTTTAATCTTTAAAATGACACTGGAGAATATATCAGTCTAGTTGCTGTAGGTTAGAAGAAAGGTAAATTGTTAATGATATCAAAAGGTTTTAGGCAGGGAGATACTTTATCGGTTTTGCTTTTCAACCTGGCCCTCCATGAGGCTTTGATTAGACTGGATCTGAGAGGGAACATGAACATCACTCATAGAATGATACATGCACATGCCTATGCTGATGACAAAGCAGCTAGCCATGTTTGATATTGCTGATGATTGGATGACTTTTTGCAAGGGGAGTATATTGTACCCTTCATCAAAGCAAGAAGGATTAGTTGGTTGGGCCATGTAGAAAGAATACCCCAAGCGAGATAGCTTAAAGAATTGTTGTGGCGGAACATCAAAGGGACCAAAAGAATGGGTAGACGGAGAAGAAGGTGGATCCGTAAAGTACAGGATGATATGAGGACACTGAGAGTGCAAACTGAAGAGGAAGAGATGTTGTACAGGAGTGGATGAATTATAGGGGAGTTGTACCAGAAGCTAAAGGCCATCAAAGCCAGTAGCGCTGCAAGAAGTAAAAAAGTATTTTAACCCCTTGGCTACTTAGTCAATTTAATGTTGTCCAATGTAAGTGTTTTTAGAAATGGTAAATATTTACAGTCACAATTTTGAATCTTTAATATTTCCAAGCATTTAGTCACTTACAATTCAATGTTGTAAAATGTGGTATTTCATACTCTATGATCCATGTTTGTTCCTGCTCTGTGAAATAATTTACCTGAATGTAAAGGAAAAACTTGCGCAGGGATGATATACTGAGTCTCGTAATGTGGCCAAACTTGACACCACTCATGTCAAAGAGAAACACATACCTGGAAGAAATATTTAAATTGATTAATTTTTTTAAAAGTAGTTTTGATAATGCAATAAGATCGGTGGTAACATTTTGAGACTTTATTTTAACTTGAGAACTGGCTGGACAGAAGTATGGTAGAGGTAAATGGTCCAGAGGTGTTGGATTAAAGTTGAATAGATTTGATAATTTAACCATGCTATGTCTTGATTATTTGTCTTTTGTAATAGATATAATTAATGTGTGCTTCTCAACTACATATTTGGCATGTAAGTGACATGACTAAAACCAAACAAAGTTAGAACCACACTCTAGTGGGGTATTTGTTATACTCTTTGTAGGATTTGACTAAACACCCTAAGTTTTTGTCCTATGGTATATGATTAATTGATTATGCTTATATGATTGATCCAAAATGCAGCTCATAGCAACTAGCAAGATCCAAAATAGGTTTATTGGCACTGTACATAGCTTTATAGTGTGACATATGAGTATGAATTTTGTATGCCTAACAAAGCATTATGTGATCAAAGTCTTCTGATTGGTTCCACATGTCACCTGGGCTTTGTACAGCAATATATCAATCAGCTGATGAAGCTAGTCTATTGTGCACTATTCTTATTCATCCTTATCACATTGTTAACCTAGACAGCTATCAGCTATCATTGGAATCCTTTTGTTAATACTTCAATACTTTTAACTGAAATTGTGACCACCTGATAGTAAGTATTTTAAACCAAATATGAATGGAGATGAGTGTAGGATGAGTGGCGCAATCTAGAGTAGTATTGTTACTATCTAAGGCCGACATGATCCTTAGACAGGACTCTTAATTAACAACTAAGGGACCTATAGTGGAATCCAAACCACATTTTTGCCTTGCAATTTACAAATTGGTCTAATCATCAGGATAGTTCTGCGGATAGTCTCGCTATCCCCTGTTAGACAAGTAAAGAGTGTTTAGACACCAGTCTATCTTTTTTTGCCTCTGACAATTTCCTCAATCCACCTAAAATACTGCATTTGACAATAAACTTACCCTGGGACAGTTCCCTCCACTTGCAGACAAGCGTCAATCGCCATTGACAACAACTTGACTCCGTCATTGAACACGTAATGCTTCGGCTCAAACACTTTTAAGCGGTGGAAGATGATTTGGTAACCGTGAGGATCCTTTACAGGGAAGCAGCCATACTCTCTGCAACCAGAAGTATTCACTGTGTTATTTTGTAAATCAAGAACAGAAATTAAACATACTAGATATCCTGTTGCTCGAAATCGAGCAAAACTTCAACTTGTAATAAAAGAATAAACGACAAAAACATAAACAGCAAGACCTCAATCAAAGAGTCTCTCTAAAGCATTCCAAAGATTCACATGAAAAGATATAGAAAGAAAATTTAGTTCATTGATTTTTGTTCTTAAGCACAAATGTTTATGTAAAAAAACCAGGGACATTTTTTAAATCTGTTAGATGCTTTGTAGTAAATATTAAGTACATTATTCAAGAGGTATAATATATTTGCAACCGCCCTGCATTATGTTTGCACTTTGCAGGTACACTATAACAAAATTATTTCACTTGTAATTAATTATAAGTAGTATAAATATATTGTAACACTCGAGAAGAGAATACATATTTTACTTGAGTTTCCATCTCAGAATTATATAAAGGACTCAAAAGAAATACTATGTAAAAAAATTAATGGCACAGGTGCCTCTATGAATAATATTCTTGATTTGTCTTAATGCTGAAAAGTGAAAGTTGTTTTTGTCTTGTCAGAGAAAAGTGGTAGAAATTTGATACTAGCCTAAAGTATCAATGATTAATGATTGGTTGTAGTAGCAATCTTATTACCATAAACTTGATTGTGAAATATTAGAAAACATTTACAATATCAATTCTTATAGGACTACTTGACTTGAGTACCTCGATTCCTCCTCGCCATGTAGTGTCATGAGCTACAAGTGAACCAAACTATAATAAAATAATTTTAAATGTGTAATACAAAAATCAGTTTTTCAACATAATTTCAAAGTAAGGCTGGACGAAAAAAATTAACAATGCCTTGTCTGATAGTAATAGAAACAAATTTCATTGACACTAGCGATCATTGGACATGAACTAGACACGAAAAACGAGCTTCAAAATTTACAATGGGATGATGAGAAGTCTAATTATGTTGGTTCGTCTATGGTTACAATTTTCAATTGAAACCGCAAAAACTAGAATGTGAATCCACGGGTACCATAAGAGAAAGAGAAAGGGCAAGAACTAAAAACTAATAAGAACTAATAAATAAATTAATTCAACAATACTTTCTGAAAGGTTTGAGAAAATCTCTTGTGAAATATCTCACTACGCAAGGAAAGAATAAGACACCTAGGTATTTTTTTTGTGTCTGGTACTCTGTCTCTTCTATTATCCCTGGCTTTAAGCTCCTGACAATCTATAGAAACAACGACATAACTTAGATCAAACCTTTTCAAAGCTAGACCACCTGCAACCTATTCAAGAATAATGCTGAAAAAGTGAACAAACAATCTTGCATACAGTTTATTAGTTCTAGATGTTAAACATTGGGCACAGAAAATCAATCACAGACTCCAATCATTTTAAAAAGTGTTGTTTTTTACTAGGTTTTTGCTAAAAGATTTGATTTTTAGCGAATTTCCCATATAGGGAATAAGCTATTACCGTAGTACTCATGGTAAGACCTGGACGCGGGACCGATTTTTTTTTTCGTTTTGAGGTCCCTAGAGGCCAAAAACACCATCCGTTCAAATTCATATATATATATATATTTATATATTTATATATTTATATATTTATATATATATATATATATGTGTCCGTCAGCACGATAACTCGAGCAAAAATGATCCGATTTTGATGAAATTTGGTACAAACGTGTTAACATACGTTTATTTGAACGAGTTCGCGATCCAGCATGATCGGACCATGGGAACGGGGTTTACGGGGGGTTTTATGGGGTAAAAATAGGTTTTTCTCATTTTTTACCCAAAAAACATAAAATTTTGCAATTTCTTTCCAAACCATTTTGTAGAGCTTAAAAAAACAAATAATTTAGTATATTGAAGCATTATTATGCGTCTAATGGTTACGGAGAAAATTCCAAAACATTTTTAATTTAAAATTCCCATGTTATTCTTATGGAGAATAAGTAAACTGTTGTAGTTTGCTTGTTTGTGAACATATTTTGATCAAATTTGGAAAATGTTTTTATTTCTTACTAACTATTTACATTTTACAAAAAAAAACAGTTTTACCCTCCCTGATGCAGCAAACCTAAGTACTTGTTAAACTAATTCTATTTAAATCAAGAATAAATGTTATATTTTTAAGTAGACATTTTAGTGTAAATCCAATCAGTCAAATGGAAATTCGCTTAGTCTGCAGGTTTGCTGCGGCGGGGGTATTACTATTTCACCTAGTAAAGGTCAAATCTTTACTTGTTTTTTCAACATTTAGTACAAACAAAGTGGCCTTCATTAAGCTCATACTCACAGCACTTCCAGTCCCTTCTTCAGTTCAGGCCTGGTCAGATCTCTGTTGTGGAAGAATTCTGGAGTGTTGGTTCTGGTTGTGTAGTAAACCTCTATGCAACTCTTGGTGGCCTCTAGGTTGAAGTAACAGCTGTGATGAAACAGAATCAGCTGTTCATCTGGAAGCAGAAATATAAGTAAGCAAAGGCTGTAACATTTTAATTCATTCTACATTCACTGTGCACTATGGGATGATGGTCTTTTTAAGTATTTGAAATGAGGCTGCAATTTTGTAGATCTGTGAATATCATAAAAGAGTAGCTATATAACAACAAGATTTAACTTTAGAGAAGTTACAACAAGTTGCCATTTCAGTTTCAGAGTAGGAGAGTTTGGATGCTTTTGGCATTGTCATTAAATCTTTTCTGAGTCTATAACAATGATAGTGACAAGCTTTTCATAAGCATGTGTTCTATCTGAGTACCTCACACATTTGTACTACTATATTATAACATGTTGTCGTCTCTTTCAGGTTTGTTTGATACACATATTGAAACAGGACCCATGTTTCTGATACCCGAGGGCTTTTAGCACATGGTCTAAAGAACCAGCTGGTCTTGGTAAAACACTGTCATGTCATTCATTCAATCATCCTTCACTCATCTCATCTTGTCTACGCCTTGGGTTCTATTGGATTCTAGTGGACTGACAATCTAAGTCATATTATGGATATAATAATTTATAAGGCACTCTTTAGGAATTATGTATTAAACCAATTTCCTGATGTAGGCTACCACTTTAAATTATTCTTATAAAAAATAGTTGACCTCAAAGTTAGTTAATTGTTAGCTCCTGTGTAGTCACCACAGCACCTGACTAAAAATCACTGAGAATATCAATGGTTCAATTAGGAATTAGTTGTTCCATCTCACCATTAACTATTGGAAGGTGAGGTTGACTCTTCATCCAGCTTCTTAGCTCCGCAATGTCCTCTTTCTTCAGCTCCGGGTTCTTCTCATACTCCGTCTCCGCCGTCACCGGCTCTGTCTTCATGGCCGCCACTGCTCCGCTGTCTGTAGCAACGAGACATAAATTAGAATCGTAAGCTGAACGTGTAATTTGGTAGAACTAATTTGATTTGTCAAAGACCTTTCTTATGGTTTGAGTCTTTATCCTCATAAAACTAATATCTAAAACAATATATTTTGTACCCAAATTAGCAATATGTTGCATCTGACCTACAAACCACATGACAACAAATGTTTACTCATTCATTTTTCCAACCTCCGCGGTGGTTCAAAAATTAGTTTACCGAGTAAGTGTATTTTATTGAAGCAAATAAAAATCAATTTTATTTATATTATAATTTTATTGAAACTGAGTGCATTTAAGTTAGTGGAGAACATTTTGAACAATTATTTTAAGTTCAATAAAAATTTGAATATAAATATTATTTTTATTATTTGCTTCAAACAAATACACTTACTCGGTAAACTGATTTTTGAAACACCCGGTACCTATAATACACCAGGTGGCTTGGGGCACCAATTACGCGTAATTACGTGTGAAAACACCATAATGAAGACAGACTGACAATTATCTCCATATAAGATATTGTCTGGCGAAAATTTCTATTTGAACAGTTAATGATCAAAAGCAATAGCTTTACCCGGTGCCGGGGGGAGTAGTGGCTTTACCGATCATCTGATGAGAGGGAGAGAGAGGGAAATAGACAGCACTGTGAGTGGGAGAGAGAGGGAAATAGACCGAAAGGTGAGTGGGAAAGAGAGACAACGAGAGAAGGATAGAGAGACGGCATGATGAAGGCAGGAGGATTGAATGAAACGTCAAACGCCGACCTTTAGATGTTGACAACCAAACGGTTCATGAGACTGACGGCTCGCCAATGCGGAAGCCTTCACTTGTGTCTGTCAAAATCAAACTTTGTATCTAATGTTTACAAGGGATATTCTCCCAAAACGGGATATTAAACGTGTCCTTGGCAATGTATTCAATGATTACACGGGATATTTTCCTGAATCGGGATATATTAGTCTATGTGATTAAACGGGACAACTTAATGTGAGGTTTAAGACGCAGAATCACAACTCAGACAGTTTTATGGTGCAAGTATGTATACCTAAATTAATTGCCCTTAATGTACGGTATGTATTTAAACGATTCACGCAAAGGATTATCGAAGAAGGTTTTGGCAATGATTGTCGTATTAAAGGATGCTAGAATCATAAATGACTTGGAATGGATATTTTCCGTATTTGTGATGGTATTTTTATCAGGGATATACATAAAGAAGGGTAGGAAGGATGACAATTGTTTTGAAATTAAAGAAGTTTTTGAAGAAACGCCTCACGAGGATTTACTTAATGATATCAGAGAAAATCAGGCTGGGAATCTATAGCTTATTTATAAAAATATCAGAGACACAACAGGAAAATCTTGTGAAATCAAGGTAGTTTGCCTCTTGAGAGACCATTCTCGTTTTGAATCAATATTATTAAGGTTCCTAATATCAAGCATTGGCATTCCCTATGCTTTCTAAGGTTTAAAAATATCCAAAGGTTTGAACCCACGTGCCTCTATAGCATTTGGCAGCATGATGAGGAAACAGTGTCAAGTGGAATGTGTTTAAAGATCACGAAGTGCAGTTCCAGTCAAAATATAGAGGTTCATACAGAGGCAATGATAAAAGAAACGTTATTCGATAGTGATAACAGTTTATTTATTGGTTGACCGATTTCTAGAGAAAAAAAATTAAGCATGATTTTTCTTCGTCTTTCCTTTAGCTGTTCCTATATTCTAGTGTTTATTTGTGACATGGAACCTTTTTTAACACACAAAGAATATATTTTATGACAAAGAACACTATCAAAATGAACACAACATTAATATTGTTAATACACTAGCATAAAAGACAGTGAGTTCACTAAAGACCATAACATGCGACCAATTTAGATCAACTGATATTATACGTCCTACATTAGGTCCAAAAAGTTAAAAGCTACGTGCATTTTTGTGTTCAATACTAACCATGACCGTTTCTTACCACCTAAATAAATTTTTGATTCAGCACATTAAAATCAATGTTGTTCACCATTTGCAATATAACGATTCTTACTTTACCTTCGAAGAGGATTCCAAACGGAAACTCACAATGCGAAGATAAATTACAAGCAAACCATTCATTTATGACCACAATAAGCAAAACGCTATAACAATCATGGAAACCAGCCATGCAATAATTGATGTCCCCCATCAGGGGAAGATACAGGTACGTATAATGATATAATGACATTGACCAAACCGGTTCATGATAACTTCTCCAATAGGCTTCCTATTGCATCCTGGGGTGGGGTTTATCATTATATGAGATTTGGAATTGTTATATCATCGAGTGTGTTAATGATGATTCAATTAGACACGCGAATAAACTCATTGGAAGTTTCATTTCTTGTCCGAATCACGATGTATTTGGTTATAGTTTACGTAATTCAAAACTTCTCACGCAGTAGGATGTTTCGCTTGCGTACTCTGGACTGACCTCAGTACAGGATGTTGGATGTTGGTGTGTCTGCGTTGTCAAAATTGTCGGAAGCACGAGCTTGAAGAGGCTTTTTGTTCGGGTGAAAGTGCCCCAAATTTGGCACCGATTGTTGACAAGGCGCTCCCTGTAGTCGTGGTGTAAGATTTTGAAAGGGTACATAGAAATGGGAAAAAGACCATATTACTAGTTGTAGACCTATGGTTTCCAAAAAGTAATATTTATGAGTGTTATGATGGCCAATAATTGGACTAATAAAGTGTTTCATAGTATCCAAAACCAGGACATAGATACATTTGACCATATTAGATATTGTATGACATAATATTTTTCTATACTTCATTAAATCTAAAACGAACTACGATTTTTCATCAGTTATCACAACTGCAAATAATGCATCCCAAGCACGAACCAACAATTTCATTCCAACTTATACTTGAAAAACTAAAGGACCAGTTTACAATTTAAAGTATTCAATACTCTAACAACTCTTTTGAAAATAGATGGAAACAAAAAAGGACTAATAAACCTCCAAGTCAAACATAACCAACGCAATCTGTTACTTAAGAGTCTGGGGAGAGGTTTTTTGACAATAAGCCAAAGAAAGAAACTCGTCCGGGCCCTGAAACCTGCTATGGGACAAGGTCGAATTATGTTTGTGTGTGTGAGTGTATAAAACACACAACTTTCACTGTTGTTTTGGGACTGGTCACATGATAAACTTTATATCCCAACTCTTTTCCTCGTTTTGACCTGAGGATTTTTATCTCGAAATTTCACTCTGCTGTATTGTGGTCAAAGGTTAAATTTAAACTTCTGAGCCCACATTGTAGCAGGGGTAGAATAACGTTCGCTAGTCGTTGTAGTAATTGTAATTAGTTCATCTAAAAATGACTACGATATTACTGTTTACATAGTATTTATGCTGTTTGGTTGTATTTTCAACTCCTCTTTGAATATATTAAATTCCTGTTTTTGTAAACCGTGGTTTGTTAGACGTAGAAAACGTATTTTTTGTTACTTAAAATCAAAATTGTTCTTGAGAGTACTATAATTGAATACTCGGGAGGACTGTTGACTACTCACAAAATTAAGTTATGCGTTTACATTTAATAATTTTTACGATTAAAAAAAAATACAGGAGCGCAATATTCAATATAGTTTTTAATTTTATCCTCAAACGCTTCAGTGGGTTATCCACTCCAATTCTCCCAGCTTACATTTCACAATTAATTATGAGAGTAACAATCCGCCAAAACGCACGTGTTCTCGCAACAATGGAGGTTAGGAAGCTACCAGCTGTTCGCAGCTTTCACGTCATTATCAGCTGTTGCAAGGAATCAGCTGTTCGGATAACATCTCAGTGCAGCCAACCGAGACTCCAAACTGTAATTTCCCGGACGCTCCAGTTCACGAACCCAAATGCCAACCAGTAAACCACTGGGAAGAGCTTTGTGTAATATAGTAATTTGACAAGATTGGTAATGTACAAAAGAAGTTCACTAACATTTTGCAAGTGTTATAATTTACTATAGGTGGTTACTTGAATCGGGAGGTATAATTTCGGTGAAATGGTTTACCGCGATGTGTTCTTATGTATAGGCACAGAAAACGTACTAAGTAGTACGTTTTCTGTGGTATAGGCCTATCATTATACAGTGCAGTATCGTTTGCTGATTTAAAACTGTAACGATCGTGTGTGGAAAGGCCTTACCATAGGCAAAAAGAATTAAATATAGACTGTCAGCAGTGCTGCGGTTACCATGGTTACCTAGGTTCTGGCGCACACAGCTGGGAGCACCGTGTAGTTACGTATCGCGTATGCCGTAGCTACATGGCGCTCACAGCAGTGTGCGCCAGAACCTATGGTAACCGCAGCACAGCTGACTGTCTATATTTTATTTTATTTTGTCTATGGTCGTACATACAGCTCATGTGCTTCAGTCAACAAAACATTAGGGTAACAAAATGTTGTTTCAGGTATACTCTAATTTATAACTTTGTTCAAATGTTACACTTTTAAGGAACACTTCCCATTACGTTCGATGTACGTTACATAGTTTGTTTGCTTGTAACGAAGATTTATGTTACTATAATGGTAACATTTCAAGATTGGATTTTCTCAAAGACTGGCTGCAATTTAATTCACTAATTTATTACTGCACCTTAAGGTCTTTACCTTAAATTGTTCATTTATCTTATAAGGTTACGCAGAAAGTACACAATGATAACGCTATATATTCCTTCAGTACATGGGGACCGAGCTTTGCTCGGGGGACTTTATCAGTATACTCCGAGAGTATTATTTGGTCAATGTAAATTTATCCCAAAAATATTATTTTGCGCTCTATCTTTTCTAAACATCCATTTAACTTCTATAAAAATAATAATATCATAGTTCACTGAAAAAATGAGAAAAAAGAGTTTTTTTGGTTCCCCTAAACGGCCCAAACTATGGAAAAAACCCAGTATTTTTCACGTTGAATTAAAAAAAGGCTATCAGCAGTAAGAAAA